TATTTAAGTTGAATACACTGAAAGAAAAGTTATTTGTACTCATAATCTGTATTAACTTCAAACCTATTCAACTCACTATTTTGAGTAACTATAACTTTTATTAATTTTTTAATAATTTTCTCATGTGCGTTTAGCTGTATTTGGCTGTCATTAAACTCAAAATTTGAAGTTATGCTAACTCAAAAATATATTACACTAAAAGTTGTCATTAAACTTAACAATTGACAAAAAAGTTGACAATTAACATAAAATAGAAATAACGTAAAATAATCATTATATGATTATATGACTTTGGGTCCCACCTTCTTTCAAGCAGAGGATGCCTACTGGAATGTCTAAGGAGTCTGCATCATGAAGATCCTACAAGTAACGAGTAAATAAAACGAAATTTTCATAACAATTAGACTTTGTAACGTTTGTCCTGCCTGAAGATCTGACAGAACTGGAGCTCTTTGCTGCTGCTTCCCGGGGCTTTTTACATGGGCAATCCTGATGAAAGCAAGGAATGGATTCAGTCCTGGCATAACGTCAATATTTAAGTCTGCTGTGTTTGAAAAGCCGTGCGCTTTTTTCATAGGTAACAGGATAATACTTGCATTTCCAAAGTATGTCTTCATGTATAGTTTTAAAAACATTTAAATATATATTTACAGTAAAATGTTTTAGTTAGCATTTTAAAGTAGGGCACAGATTTTTTCAAGAAAATGCTGTTGCTCTTTTGCAAAAAAGTGAAATGAAGTAATTTGTATCAACTTATGTTAGCTACCTCTGCCAAGTAGCAATGTGAAACAGCAAAAATTTAGAGGATAAACTAGGTACATGGACTACACTGATAATTATTCTCAGATGTTGTTTACACACCAAAATTTTAACACAATACACATTTTTAAGCTTCAGGGATCATGAAATAATGTCTTTCAAACCAAATGAATATGGAAAATGACTCACCAAGTTGAAGAACGTAAAAAGCTCCATGAGGGTCAAAAAGGGGAACTCATCTACTGCAGTTAATTTATTTTGCTCTCCATGAAAATCAGATTAACTGAGAAACATTCATCTTCTTCCATGCATAAGCACTGCAGATCAGTCCTATAGTCCATATTTGTGGAAAATGAAGGAATGCTTAATAAAGTGCAGAGAACAGGAAGGCTAACTCTATGACAACAAGACAAAGACCAACGGTCCTCGTTCCAGCAAGCCCAGACAAGTTTTGACACAATTAGACAATCAAATTAAAGTGCAGGCTAGAAGTTAATTTTTGAAGTTTATTGAACTCAAAACTATAAGTGCATCTAAATTATTGAGGCTCAACACAGTTTTCTGAGTTGAATCAACTTAAAACTGCTAGTGCACATCAAATAATGCCAGTACAACAGACCAACACTATTTAAGTAATAAAACAAAACTCAATTTTTTCAACTGATGTGTACTTGAACTTTTTGCACAGAAACTAATCTGGGTTTACAGTGTATATGTGTGTTGAATAACAGAGTAATGTAGCTAACCCGATTTATCGGCATAAAAAAATATGACTGATAGTTTGTTTGTCTGTATTTGGGCGATGATGACAGGGTTTACAAACGTAAACGAACATACAGTAGGCCTACACATTCATAACAGATAACCACGAAATCTGAATCGAGACACTTACTGCAGTTGAGATCGTCAGTTTAAGAGTAAAAACATAGAGGGACGGTTTAAAAAGAGTGGGGGCCCTAATCCAGCACAACCAAAGCAACGAGAACCCGAATCCAATTCAAAGATCAGGGGGTACAGAATTAAATACAAAATAAAATACAAACTGCAAAAACCCCACCCAGCCACCCTCCAAGCCCACATTTAACAGAACCCCCCCCCCCCCCCCCCCACCCACAGACACACACAGCCACAGAGGACCTTCTATCTTAAAGTGAAATGGGGAAACGCAGGAGCTGAAGCTAAACTGATAAAACCATGACAAGATGTAAAAAATAACATGAAATAAAACAATACTACTACTACTACTACTACTGCTACTACTACTACTACTAATAATAATAATAATAATAATAAGAAGAAGAAGAAGAAGAAGAAGAAGAAGAAGAATGAAATATTATATAATAAAACTGTTTTAAAATCAAACAATAAAAGAAAATAAACAAATAGTGTTAAAATATAAGATAATAATTTTAGGACTAAAGTGGAGTAAAATACGAAAAAGAGTAGCCTAAAGGAGAGGCTAGAAGAATAAAACAAAATCAGCCAAAAGCCAGACTAAAAAGGAAGGTCTTGAGTTTGCGTGAACTTGAACTGTGGGTGCTGTTCTCAGGTCTTCAGGCAGACTGTTCCACAGACGGGGGCCATAATAATAAAAGGATGCCTCACCACATGTTTTGGTTCTACCTTTGGGGACTATTAAAAGACCACTACCTAAAGACCTGAGGGCTCTACGGGGTTCATATCGTAAAAGCAAATCAGATAAATAAGAAGGACCAAGAGCATTAAGACATTTATTAACTAATAAAAGAACCTTAAAATCTATTCTAAAAGATACAGGAAGCCAATATTGATATCTAATGAATGAATATTATAGAAAATGGCTACATTTCAGCATTCAAGTCTAAATTTATGAATTGATTTTAGAATATCTGGAGGAACATTAAGGGCTGTAAATTCATGCGCAGGATATCAAACCTGCACAGTGGTATATTTGTGCAACTGCCAATTTCAGAAACTGGCATAAAGGCCTAACTCCGAATTGAAAATTCAAAGAATCTCATGAAGTGGAAACGTTAGATTTAGGGGTTGTTTTGAATGCAAGTGTCTTTTTACATTTTTGTTAGCATTTCCGAAATGAATCACTCATTTGATCACTAAAAGATATCATCTGTTTTGCCTTGACACCACCGCAGCAGGAGCAACTGGACTGGGATAATTCCGAACACATTTCAGTGCACTATTCAGTGCCGCTATCTGAGTCAGCACAAACATTTAAACCTCTATCATTATATTCTGATCTATATCATCTGATGACAGAGCACGCATGCGTGATGGACACTCAACTTGACCGAATTAACACAGCCGAAACCGGATGAAAGGAAAAATCCAGTGAGTTGTCACACTTCATAAAGTTAATTAGATATTTAATACGTGCCGCCACCACCGCCACCCTTCCTCTTTCTCCATCTCCTCTCCTTCCTATTTACGCGACCCCACGCTGCGCGCAGTCGCAGCCGTCTGCCTCACGCCCTGTGGCCTTGCTGTTTCTTACACTCATGTTTTCATGTGAAATTAACCTGGCTCACGCAACCGAATATGATAATAATAAGTGTCCATTACGAGTGCCAAAGGCGGTTGCTCTGACATCGGTAAAATACAGATCTGAATATGTCAATGAAGATCATATTTTATGGGCACAGTCAAATAGCTGCACTGAATAGTAGTAGTAGTTGTTGTTGTTGATGATTATTTATAGCACTGAAATATGCCTTAGGGCTCCAATTTCGGGCGCGGAGCAAGTCAAGTTCGCTGCGCCGATGGGGTTTACCAAGCACACTTTGCTCATTTGGCGAGCAGCGTAGACCGGCATAAGTACACCCCCTCCCTATCTCAGCTCCTCCAAGCGGCACAAGTCTGACAGGGGGATGGGAGGGGGCGTGGAGTGGGTTTAACACAGCCAAGTCCAATTTTCACTAATCAACAAGTGTCGCACTAAGCGCGGCAGAGGACGTTGCGTCCTCCAGGGATTTGGTGTGTGCAAGAGGATGGGCCCATGAGTCAGACAAACATCCTTTTCCACAAATAAAGACAGTCACAACAAGCTGCATATATTTAAACCCTAGGCAAAGGTAGGTTATGTGCACAGATCACAACATGAAGTCTGGCACAAGGGTTCTGGATCCTTACTGCAGCCTTGGGTAGATGCCACATTTGCAGAAGGGGCAACAAACACAATAGTTTAGTAAGTGATTTCGACCCCATGCAGTGATTTCCACTACAGAGTCATGTATACTCTGTGATGCACTGTTCCCAGTGGGTCCTAAGCTCACAAGATCCCACAGTGTCTCAAATGTAAACTGGGCGTAAATTTTTCATAAAAGAATAAAAATGTTTACTTTTAACATTTCAACATTCATGTTCTCGTCAGTATTTCAAACAGCCTCAAAACTGCTAAAATTCGTAATTTTTTAATCTTTGTTCTTGAGCTCAAATTTATCGAAGTGTGCCCATTGCTTATTTCAATTTACAGTTCATTCCTACTAACCCTCGGGAGCCTGAGCCACCAGGCTTGAGTGCGATAACGTGATCACTATCCGAGTCAGGAAAACTGCACAGATCAATTGTAGAGTATGCTCCACGTGTTTTTCTTTGCCTTGTGCCATTAGTTTGTCCACTCTGCGCTGTTTGTTGCTGCATAAATCCATTATCAAGAACATAATAAGTTTAATGATTCACAGACTCATTAAGAGCCTGACGACTTCCTGGAGGGATGGAAGGCAGCTTGTGGTTGTGAATACTGCACTTATGCTCGCATGCACGTGCGCTCTGACTACAATTAAAGAGACAGGTGCTATTAAATTTTCCATTTTGGCACTTTTTATTGACAGTTTGGTGACTTTTGAGGGGCACAGCTTGATAAAAAGGCAGTTAATTGGTATTTCCTCTCAGTTCTCAGTCATCCTTAGGTGCCGTAGTCTTCCTCCCATTTTCAGCCCGGCTCCGCCCCGCTGTTCCCGGTTGTCTCAGCAAACGGCCAACAAACCTCCCACACTGTCAAGGTGCGTTTGGTGACGGCCGTCATCTGTTTCCTTCATACCTTTCTCCCCACCTCATTTTCGATTCCGCGAAGTATGTCGTCGACTGTATACTTTCGGACGCTGTAACATAAACTGTTATTGGATATTCATTTATCGCTCAGAGGATCTACTCATTTGACTCACTTCCAGCCGGAATACGCGCTTTGACTCTGAGACATCATGACTTTTAATAAGGAGTTAGTTGTCTTCATAACCTGCATCGCCATGACACTTGTACTTCACTGTAAAGCAGGTAAGTAACACTTAATTTGTATTTGGACTTTTGAGGAGCGCTTTTCATCTTTCAGGGGCGAGTTAATGAAAGTCTAGTAGCCTAAGTCAGGCGTTAATGACGCACTTTGAACCCTTTGGGCGAGGTGTCATGAAAAATGGAAAGGTGTTTTACTAACAAAAAAAGTTCTAGCTGTTTAAAATGAATGTTTATTGAGGACTCATCCTGATAAATGTCAAAAATGTTTTGAATATTTCATACTTTAAACACGAGCTTGACACATTGACTTTAATTTCTGTCCCCTGGAGTTGAGTGCTGAGGATTATCTCGCGCTATCTGGCCAACCTCATGGTTATGTGTGCCAGAGGAGCAGGGGCGGATCCAGACACGAAGACTGTGGTGACCCTGCTTACTCACAATGCAGGGGTTATGCAATGGATAGTGCTTATCTACCCTCAAAATCTCTGCTTGTCATATCTACTTATACAAGTTTTCATCGATCAAGTTTCTTAAAATGGTAAAATCCTGGAATTACTTTAAAACATGACAGAAACAAACAAACAAACAAACACAAAATAACACTACAAAATGGCACATTTTATTTCCTGTTTTTATGTTTTTTAAAGAAGTTATATGTGTGTATATATATATGTATATGTATATGTATATATAGTCCAGTTACATTTCAGCATGTTAAATTTGCTGTGTCATTAGATAATTTAAAACAAGGGTAAGCAATTAGTTTGATGATTTTTCTGATAAAGTTGTTGAAATTCTCTTTGCAAGTTAATTGCATACAATATATTAAATGCATCAGTGCAAACTTGTATTCAATGCTTGCAGCTCTCTTTTTTTCTAAAAGTTCCTATGTGAATATTCCTCTTGCACAGTAAATAAATCAGTGCATACATGCACATTTTGCAATCTTTCAACTGCATTAATTTGGGTTGTCTGCAGATATTCAGCTGTGGAAAGCTTACAAGACACACCTGCTACATTATATCTGTCTTGCATCTCCACCAAAACTACATACAGGTGTTGAATCAAAGCTACTAGCCTTGGCTTTGAACATTTTAAATAGTCTGTTTCTGAAGGAAGAACAAAATTTTTAGCATGTTTTTCCCAGGTTGCCTAGCTCCAGTGTAAATAGCCTGGCTCAAAAACAAACAAGCAAACAGTTTATTGACTTGTTTGGTGGCTTGTACGTGATGATTTTTAAAAATATATTTTAAAAAGGGTATGTTTTCTGTCATGTCAAGAAATAAGAATGAAACAATTAAACAAAAAAGTTTAAAAAAATAGCTGACAATGTGAAGTTACTGTGAGGTTTAATAAGATTTCATTTTAATGTGGTTTCAAAGAAATACTCGCCAACAGGAGGACATGAAAATCATTTCAGGCCAGAGTAAACCTGCGTAGGAAGTGTTTACACTAGATGAAGTACCTTCTTTTATGGGAGACATTGCTTGAAGCTTCATCAGTTCTCCACCACAGCTGTTAAGTATCTGCAGCAGAAACTATATCTAAACTTTGTCATGTTTGCCCACTATGTGACCCAGATAAAAACTGCAAAATGTCTTATTTCTAACTCAAGAATACGAACGCAATGTAACCTCCCAAAGAGTCTCCAGATAGTATCATCCAACCAATTCTACCTAAATAAAGCGACTTCGAACATAAATACTGAGCAGTTGTGATAACTTCCTCTTTTTTCTTCATAACAGATTGCCCTCTTCCACCAGTGAGACTGAAGTATGAGTGGCTTGATCCGTTTACTGTGAATGTATCCTGGGAAAAGCCTGATGGTCTGCAGGACAAGGAGATCAAGTTCAAATACTGCCTTGTGAAGAATGGAGACGACCAAGTAAGAAAACTGATATCAGGTGTTTGTGTGGGGTCCAGAGGTGACCTCGTTGAATTTTGGAAAATAACATCTGCTTCTCTTACAGTTTACAGGTCACTTCTAATAACAACACTACTGACTAATAAACACATGAAACTGTTTAAAAAATTCTTCCGTGGTGATGCAGCTCTGTTATCCAGTTATGTGTTAACTTTAAAACCATTCGGATCAGATTATCACCAGATTTTCAATTGATCTTCAATTATAACACCAAGTTACAACAACCTGCAAATGATTTACAAAAGAGCTGGTCTAGACTAAAATCTTCTTTGCATAAACAAAGACTCAACATCAAGAGAGGGAAATTAAGTCTTGTCTTGGGAGATCAGACCCACTCTTGCTCCATCTTAAGCCAACATGAACGAAACACTTTAAAGTCCTTTTCATTTATCTTACACAAACATTGAAATCCATTTTTAAAGGCAGCTATATTTAGTCACTGGGTTGTGGGAGGGCCTGTTTCTACACAGGAAAGGAAATGGCAGGAAAGTTGTCATATGGCATTTCTGCTCTCCTAAGAAGTCTCCAGGCCAGGACTAGGGATGGGGATCAATAACCAGGTTCATTACACACCCAATAAAGCATTTCTCAAAACCCCAAATCATTAATGATAGAGCTTAACGATTCTACAATCGGGTCTCTCTGGTCCTGTGAAGTAATGTTATGAGTGAGTAAAGTGACCCCTTGCTAATTAAATCTAGGGCTGTAATCAACCAAAGAAATTCGAGGTCAACTAAAACCCTGAAATTTTAAACCAAAAATCAACTAAACGGTTTTTGGTTGAAGTCGGTTCAACCAATCGTTTTTTTTTGTTTTTTTTGCAAATCCAAAATGGTGAAAACAAGGGGGGTGTTCTGAGACCTGTGAAATGGAGGTGCTCAGAAAACAGCCCCATTAGAACTTGGTATGTTCCTCCTGATGAAATTAACCATAGACAGTGCGAAAAAATCAAATCGACTTATCAGAATTTTGGTCAACTTAGCATGTATCAACCAATAAGTCAATTGACTAGGACTTCACAGCCCTAATTTAATCAACGGTGCACGCATATTAACTGACTGTCTAATTAAGTGAGCAACAATAGTTATAAAAGTGCATGAAGAATTTCAGTGGTTAGTTACAACGATGGCTGAAGGTGCAAGGAGGTCCATAGTGTGGCCACATGATACTGAAGCTGAAGATGGGGATGAATCCAAATGCAGTTTATGACACAAAATATTTTCCTTCAACCATACCTCAGTTTCCAAACACATCAGCACTGTGCGCCAAATCAAGCCTAAGTACCTGCAGCACTTTTGACTCCATCAGCTCCAGCTGCTGCTGTGGGGCTGCCTTCCTCCTCATAAGAATCATAATCTAGCGTTGAAATCCATGTTGAATCAGCAGGACGAAAGCGAATTAGCTAACTAATCAAGGTAACTGACATTACATTGTGAAGTGTTCAGGGTCAGGCTAGTAAAACAAAAATTAGGCAGAAGTAAATGATATGTGTTCATGAAGTGTTCAAATTTCATGTCGGTAAAGAAAAAACTAGTTTGCGGTGAAAAATCTGTATTGATACAAAAGCACTGTCAGCCCAGGTTCACACAGACAGTAGTGTGAAATTAGGGGGTTACCCTGAGCCACAACACCTAGTAATTATTAAACAACAGAACAAAACAAAGAACAAATGACTTCATACAAAAAGGGACTAAGTGACTGGGGAACAGAGGAGTCACAATCATGAGTCACAATGAGGAAACCTTGTGGATAAAACTGTTTGTTGTTATTAATGTTGAAAATCAAGACTCAACTTGGACACAGGAAACTTAAACCAAACTTGGACTCAACTCAAACTTAGAGTAACTGATCCTGTCGTCTCACTGGTGTTCTGATCATATGTACAAACCTAGTACTATTAAGTTTATTGGAGTACAAAGTATCAGACTTTTATTTGAAGACGTAGTTTGACCCCTGTGTTATTTGTTTGAGATCTTTTTCGCTCCATTCTTGTCACTTTTTTTGCCATGCACTTATTTTTTTACAGTACATGCGTTAGTCATCAGATCAGCACGATATGAGAAAAACAGGTCACCTGCCATAAAACTTTTTTATTGTAAGATAATGATAAGAAGGTCCTACTGACCTTTTTTTTCTTCAACTGTCCACCGGTTTTAAATTTTAACAGGCTGTTCCTTATATTAACACTGAACCTGTGTTTGTACAGTCCCTCCTGCGTCCAAAGTAAAGCCAAAGGCATTTTTCACCTCCAAAATGTGACTAATAAACCTGAGAACAGCTGATTAGTGACTTTAGCTGCATCAAAGTTAAGGAAAGCATGGCACTTATATCCAGATCTCTATTGAAAAGGTGACTGTGTAAAGAGGGGAAAGCACTGCTTGGCTTTTCTACCGTGTTTTATTTAGATTTTTTTCCATGTGTTCACTGTGCATGCTCTTGATAGTAACAAGAAACCCAATTATTTGTGCAACTGTACTGGCCGCCTCTGTAAATAGACCTCTTTTTAAGTTGCAAGTGGGAGCACTTTGTGAAAACTGGTGGTCATTTTATTTTTCAGCATGCTCCTCCAGATGTAAGGAGTTCTTTCAGGGTCAAAAACCTGTCCCATGAGTCATGTAGATACTGTGACTCTCACAAGGAAAAAACACTTATGTTAAATGAGGACACTAAACTGGTCCTGCAGAAAGACTAATCCAGTGCTTGAACAAAAACCAGAACAAAAAAGCAGATTCATGGCTGTTACACACACACACACACACACACACACACACACACACACACACACACACACACACACACACACACACACACACACACACACAGCTAAGAAGTTTAAGAACAGTATAAGAACGTCCAGTCCATAAAATCATCCAATGATTCAGAGAATCCAAAGAGATTTCTGCACATAAGTAGCAAGGCCCAAAACCAACATTGAATAACTGTGACCTTTGAGTCATTGTGGTTTCGTGGACAGAGGGATGTTCCTCTCTGCGTGATGCGTAAAGATAGAATCAGATGGGTTTTTTCCATACTGTACTCAACGACACTGATGTGTACACCATACTGTTCTCCCACCTGATATGTTACTCAGATGGGATACCAGTCACCGTCACCACACCCCTTTTGTTGTGAAACTTTGGCGTAAATTACCACAAAAAATGCAGTATAGGTCAGCTTTACCATATATAGTGCTGAAAAGCACAGACACTGTTGGAGGGTTCCATGATAAATATGTCAAATGCAGAATTTGCTTAAAAAATGTGAGTGATATAGAAAAAAATCAAAGCCCTTTTCACTTTAAAAGATAAAACCTGCTGTAAATCGAGAGTCTGTGGGCAACCTGTTTTTAAGTTCTTTTTAGACTTTATTTAGAGAGAACAGGACTGTGGGACAGCGTTTGAAAGCGAGTGCAGGAAAGAAGCCGCAGGTGGAAGTGAACCCGGACCAACTGTTAGGGACAATTAAACAGATTTCATAGGGCCAACAAATTGATGAGCTAAAAGTCCTCCACACTTAGGCTGTTGTAAGTGAATGTTGTGTTTAGGCTGTTCCTCTGTCTATCAGTTTTAACAAAAGCAAAAAGAGCTGTATATTTTAAATCTTTCTGCACAAAATGTCTCAAAAATGTTTATTTTCATACTCTGAACAATCAAAGCCGCTCTGTGGGGCTTATCTTAAATGTTGAACCTCCAGCCTGTGCTGATTTGATGGTTATTGGATGGGTATTTAACCAGGATGTGTCGTTGATGGCTTGCTGGTAGGAGACCACAGAGGAAAACCCAGGACATGCTGGAGAGATTATGTCTCTCAGCTGGCCTGGGAACGCCTCGGGTTCCCCCGGGATGAGCTGGAACAAGTGGCCAGGGAGAGGGAAGTCCAGGGTTCCTTGCTTTGCCCCTCCCCACGACCCGGGAGTAAGCAGTAGAAGATTGATGGATGGATGGAGGATAGTTATAAATACTTTTATGTTGTTGTTTTTCTCCAGGATGTGACAGGAATAAAGTCGAGAAATTTCACATACACTTGTCTAACAGAAGAGACTGACAACGGCAACTGGACATTCAACGTTTGGACTGATGGCAGCCATTCCTGTAATGGCTCCAGTGAGAACACCCGCGCCCCTATAACCTTCAGTAACCACAAACTCAAAGGTAAAAGTGAGCAGGTAACACCAAACTACACGAGCATCTTTTTTTGATTCTGTGTGTTTGTGACACTTTTGTTTCTGCACTGTGCAGCGAAATTGGTGAAGGACTTTAAATGTGTCATCTATGGCAATGAAACAGACTGTTCCTGGGTCCCTGTGGACCCATCTCTGAATCTGATGCTCTCCTACAGGTGAGTTTACAGCCACAGACTCACTTCTAAAATCAGTGTAATATTTGTCTGTAATGTTTGTAAGTAATCATGTACAGTGCCCAGCATAAGTCAGTACACCCCCTATTAAAAGTAATGTATTACTCAATATCTAGAGGAGCAAAAGTACAATTTCCAAAGTTTTGACCAAGCTGAGTTTAACATAACATTTTATTTACCACAAGATGAAAATAAGGGTGATATGGTAACTAAAATTTAGCTTTGCTGTCAAAACTTTAATTGGGGTGTTCTCATTTTTGCATCCTGATTTTAAATTGAAAAAAATACTTTTTTTGTCTGCAACTTAAAAAATCTTGTTTGCAATCAATGGCCTACATTTGGGGGAGTATTTAGTTGTATAGTCTGACATGGAAAATGTTGATTTTGAAAGGAAACTAAAGGTTTTTTGACAACTCTGAAGGGGTGCACTCATTTATGCAGAGCACTGTATAGTGAGCGGAACGCTGACAAGGTGAGCAGGACTTTGACACAGCTACCAGTGAAAGAAAGGTCAGTTGGCACAAAATCTAACTCCCAGAAAAGACTGTGGGCTCTATTTTCATGTCCACCGGGAATGCGGTGGATGGTGGCGGACCCCGTGCAGTGGTATTGATGTCTGGCTAAGCCCAGCGTACAGCCAGTTTGGTATTTTCGTGAACTGAGGTGCACCGAGTTATGCCGTACATGCGCCGTGTCGCTGGCGGGGCACGAAAATAGAGCCCTGTGTGTGTTCGTCAAGATTCAGAGCAAAGTCTTTAATAACTTTTCAGAGAGCACCAGGCCTGCCCAAGATGTGTCATAGCTGCCATTGGTCTTATCACGCTCGTTCACGTAAACATTTGCAGAGTATTTACTTCCGTACACTCACTTCTCCAAGCAACATACCTGCAGGAGGTATGGATTACACAACCAAGAAGAAAATAATAGAAAATAATAGGCCATCATATACTAACACAAGCTTTGGATAGGGAAACTAGAGAGTAAGCAGTTGAGGAGTTAATGAAAAGTATTGTAATCATGTTCGACATGTTCAGACAGAGTTCCTCCTCTTTCACAGACCTGAACAGACCTTTGATACTAAGACTTCCTTGTAAACCTGAGAGTGATCAACACCTGCAGGGTGGGGACAACACCGTGTTTCTATCAGACACATCACCAAAGCAAACCAAACCTTTGAACCATGTCTGAACACGGACGGTTCTGTCTCATCTTCATGCACTTTCATAAAACAAAGAGGAATATTTATGTTTTCAGTTTAATTATTGCTTTTATTATTATTAGGTTAGTTTTGTGTTAGGTTGTTATACATGTTCACAACCAACTTGCAAGCCACAGAGAGCAGTTAGTCATTACAGATGTTGTTTTAATATGATTAAAAATTTTAAAAAAAAAAGAAAAACTGATCGTTGGGGCCAAAAATACACAAAGGTGGACTGCACAGGTGTCATCTCCACTATGTATGGGAAACATAAAAATCAATGCTTTTATTGAAGGTTGAAGGTAGGGCTGTGTGATGAATACTTTGATTCATTTGCATTTTTCTTGAACTGACACTGTATTTTTTTTTCTTTAATTAGCTGCTAAAATACTTTGATTTTAAGGAATGATCCTGGTTTGTGGTCAAATATTGTGTAATTGCTGTAGTTTGGTTTCACACAGAACAAGGCGGCGAAGTGACAGAGCTTTCTGAAACACATTTCGTTGTCCTGCAAAACCGCTCTATTTAAGGCTAAGTACTTAGTTTTTATGGAGTCCATGGTTTTCCTTTTCATTTTGTAGATATTTTTCCCCTCAGATAAAGCATTTAAAATCAGGGGACAACAGAGATGTATTCAGGAGTGTAAAAAATGTGATTCAAAGTACTCTCCTCTGTGCTGAACAGTTTCCCTGAGGTACAGCAGAGTTTGTTGTTGCCACAGTACCTGAAGATGAAATGTGTTGATGCTTTGCGTTAAATAACTTTATTTATTTGTGAGGCACAAGTCCAATTTGTGTGAGTTTTCAATGTTTACGTCAATGTTTTAGTTGTAAGTATAGCTCTGGAAGACAAGAACGTGCTCTTTTTATCACAGCAGATAATTTGGACTATGTGAGCATCTAGTGGTGGCTGATGGCACTGCAGCAGGTTTACAAGACTGTGGCAAATAAAAGCATTTACTAAGATTTACTGAAGCATTTACTAAGATTTACAAAGATTCAAATAATAAGGAGGAAAAAAATCACAGACACCCAAGACGAAATGCAGTCTGGGAGATTAGAAGAGAGAAAGTAAATAAGCAAAACAAGGAGAACAAAAGCTGAAAAGCTAAAGTGTCCTTAGCTAATAATAAATGTACTCCTTTGCATTTTCTCTTGTCCTCACAGGATTTGTGGACTTGATGAGGAACGTTTGAAAGGTTTGAAAAAGTGCAACCGGTTTTACAGCAAAGAAACAAGGACTGGATGTCGAGTGAAGCTTGATGCCAAGAAGGGGGACATCTGCATCCTGGTGGAGACTGAAACCAGCATGAGCACCTTTAAAGCTGAGCTTGGTTGGTATAAACCCTCACAGTCTTTTGTTTTGTGTCATTTTCATGAGTTCAGGTGCATCTCATCAAATAAGAATATTGTGTTTTTTGTCATAATGTAATCCAAATAGATTAACATTGATATATTAGATACTCATTGCATGCAAGTGAATTATTCAAGCATTTCCTCATACATGTAGGTGATCAGTCTTTGGCCTCCTAACAAATATGCTTATTTTCTGCAGTGTCAGGTAAGGGGAGTTGGCAGGCCAGTCATTGATATTTTGGTCGTTGTTTTGGTGCTGTGGGCAAAATAACTTGTGGAGAATGAGAAAATTCAGGAAAAAACAGGAGCATATCTTTAAATAAAGGATGATTTCCAAGTGGTCTTCAATTCAGTCCAGTGAACTGAAACCAGACTAAACCCTGTTCCTAGATTTGCTGAGGAGCAGGAGTTTTTCCACAATCCTCTAATTTGTCCAGATGCATCTGTAGTTTCTGTTTGGTGTAATAAGTATTCAAGTTCTACATGCAAGTCAACAAATGCTGGATTTTTTCATCTTCAGCTGTCCTTTCACCGAAGCTGACAGTCAGAGAAGAGAGGAACAAACTCATACTGAGTTGGAAACAACCAGAAATTGGTAAACAGTGTGTGTGGAAATATGAAGTCTGCCACACACAGTGCAGCAACCCCAAAGTAAGTTTTTGAGCAAAACCTTCTCTAAACAAAAACCTTTCCTGTTTTTACCCCCAAAATCTTTCATGCGCTTGTATTTCCTCAAGAATTATAGCCCTGATTGTATTTAAACTGATTGACGTGACTGTATTTTAACATATCACAAACACTTGATGGTACTGTAGAGTGACACTTTAACCATGTTGTAGAAAAGCTCCAAAACCCATTTCTCTGACTGTGATTTTATTGCTAAGCTCGTTGAGTGAAAATCAGCTGATATTACCAAATTGTTGTTTTCTCCATCTGAGGAAGTGATTTTGCTTGTTCATTTCCTTTTAGGTGTGCAATAACTACCCTATGACTGGAGAGCCTTTAGTAGAGATGACCTACGACAAGAGCTGCCGTTACGAGATCCAATCCAGAGTCTGGACTGACTACTGCAAGAAAATATCCAGCGACTTCAGCGAAGTTGTAACTTACGGTAACTTTCTTGCCAGTCCTACTTCTGAGATATTTATACCTACAGTGTGTTGATAATGCTCACTTAAAGGGATAGATTGGGATTTTTCAAGTGGAGGCCCATTGAAGAGATTGTGCCCAGTGAACTGACATGCAAGCTAGGAAGTTTCCTGCAGATGGGCCATCAAAACTATGTTTTAGCGATATTTTTTAAGCTGCTCAGCTTTCTCTCAATACTGGACTGATGTTAGAAATCATTCTTAGGTCTAGCACAACTTCCAAGGTGCTCAGAGAGAAAAGGTCTTGAAGAGATCAAAAGAGCTCCAGCAACACTTGTAGTTCAGGAAACAACTTGATTAGATCAAAGGGTTTCAGCTTGTAGCCTTCATCAAGGTCATCAGAAATGCTTTACAAACAACACTTAACTCAAAAATGTCAAAGAGTTGAACAGTTACAAGATTTGACCAGTTCTTCTGAATCAGCCAATGGAATGGCTGCAGGGGTTTGTCATTTCAGTCACCATGTGGTTTTGGACCAATGTGGTAACTGAATTGACACAACCGCAAATCTTATAACTGTTTAACTCCTTGGATTTTTTCCAATTTCAAACTTACTCTTTCTAAGAAATTATTCTTAGGTCACACAAACGTGGAAAAAATGGGGCCCAACTTGAGAAATACCAAAGTAACCCCTTGAAATGACTGAAAGAGACGTGAAGCAGATGTCTATGATGTTGTTGTGTCAAAAATGATATTTTCTGTTATACCTATACCTATATAGTTATAGCTATACTTTCTGTCCTCATTTTGTTTAGCTGGGATTTCTAATCATCTTCATGAAGTCGGTAATGATAGACGTCATTTGTCCTTGATTATTCAGACAGTGTCAGGGGCAGGGACCAAATTTTAAAGTAGCAAACAGATTCTGGTGCTAAAAACATGAATAGGGCTGTCTGAATATGGCCAAAATCATAATCATCATAATTAGTTAGATTTTTATTGAGATAACGATCATTGAACATGATTATTTATTGTTTTTAGTATGAAAACTAAACTATTAAAATAAACAATAAACTATTGTTCCTGTTTAGTCTGGAGAATTTGCTGTTTCTCATTAACCTCTGTCATTGTTGAAACACTTTATCTTTCATGAGCCGAAAGCTTTAAAGTAGTCTTTAAAATGACTCAAATGTGTGTGTGTGTGTGTGTGTGTGTGTGTGTGTGTGTTTCACTGCAGGTACTGACAACTCTTCTGACCGAACTCTGACTTTGGTTGCCATCATCCTTCCCGCCATTCTGTCCGTCTGTGTCCTTCTGTCCTGCTACTGTTTTAGGAGGTAACTTCAAAAATGACATTTTTCCTGTATAATGTCAACCAAACCTTTAGACCATTGAATTTCAATACCAAAGTTCAGGCGCAGCCTTAAAAATTGGAAAGGTCTCTTTGAAGGTGGAGGTATAGCTCCTCTTCATTCTTAAATTTGACTTTGTTTGACAATCCGAGAGTATAAATTAGTTTCACTTTTTGAATGAAACTACAGGGGAAAATCTGGCTTTTTCGGGACATTCAAATCTTTCTGAGTAGCAGCTGTGTAATTTGAGGTATCCAGCTGCTTTAAACCTATTCCAGGTGCTAATGATGTAAAGACACTTGTGAAATAAACAGCAAAGCTGTCGCAACAGGTGAAATGATTGTAATCTGGAAGCAATGCTTTTCGTAAAAAACATGTCACAAGTTCCTTTAAACATGAGGATGTGGAGTCATTGTGGTGACTAAAGACAACCACAATGACAAAATCACATGTGAAAGGCATAAGAAGTTCACTTTGAAGTCTACTTGATGTGCCTGAAGCGGTACTTTACTGTGAGAGACTCAGGTCATTGTCCTCATGTCCATATGTGACCATGAAAATCTGAGGCCACCAGACCTTATTGTGAATCTGAGCAAACTCTTCAAAGACACTAAAGTCACAGAGCAAAAAATACAAATCAATTGGTCTAGACAGATGTTTACCAGCAACAGCTGCATATTTGGTTGGTTTGGTTATGGCGCCAAAAAGAGAAGGCTTTTACAGCAGTTTCTGGTTAAAAACAGGATTTGACTTAAGGTCTAAGGTCCAAAACATAAACAGATTTCCAGTGAAAATCTTAGCCCCATCTCTTCGAGCTGTATCAGTCCTATGTTCTATTTGTCTTGGAAATTTCCACAGCATACTCACATATGCTTTGGGTTTTTAAAGTCTGTCTGTTCACAAACAAACATTTCAGAACACTTCATGATTATTTCTTCCTGTCATTAACCTTTTGGTTAACACATGTTTATTTACAGACACAGCGCCATAATTTGCCCGAACATACCAGATCCATCTGCAATCTTCAAGGAAATGATGATGAATGGAAGCAAAGAGCGAAAGGTGCATTTTAGGCCAAAATGACAATACGAACGAGTGCATTTGAATGAACTACAGCATCATGAAAAAACTCCTTTTTCATGTTATTTAATTTTTAAAATAAAAACTTTCATTTGCTCTAGTCTTTTTTTTTGTAAAATTAAGGTTTTTTAAAATTTGATGCTTCTAGTTTACAGAAAGGTACTATCTGAAATGTTTCTGGGTTATTAGAAAAATGATGTACCCTTCCTCCTTCTGTGTTTACGAAACATTTTCATTACACTTGTCCTTCCTTTTCAGACTACAACTGGAAGTCTGTACACACCGGTACCAGAAACTGTCGATCCTTGTAAGATCTCCCCAGTGACTGAAAACAGCAGCTTTCAGGAAAATGTTTAAGTTGTCTGTGCAAAGGGATGCCTGCAATGCAACTGGACCTTCACTGTGGATGACTTCTTGAGGAATAGCCACCGAGTAACTCAACACCAGGCTGATAAACTCTGTTTCACTGACCTCTCCAGATCAAAAGGTTCCTGCTGGGAGCACCTCTGACTTGTGTGTTCATTGGAGCAGGAGAAAGAATCTGATCAGAGAGTTCACATCATGTAGAAAGACTTAGTGTAAACTATTTTGTATATTTTCCTGTATATAATGACTGACATCAATTATTTGTCTGAGATATACTTGTAAATAGTAGCAAGTAGCTTTATTTATTTCAGGGCGTACAGTTTTAACATGTGAAGAATGCAAAAAAAAAATGTAAATAATTTCAAAGCTGTAAAAAGTTCGAGAGAAGGAAAAAAAAAAAACATTTAATAACTGCTTCAAGGACGTAACAAGAAAACGTATCGCATTTAATGAAATACACGTCCTTATAAAGCATCTTTACTGTAGAGTTCTGTATCACTCCAGAAACTTTGGCCACCAGAGGACAGCAAAAACCTGTTTATTTGTGGCTGCTTTTTTTAAGTTACTCTCTTGATGTGTGACATGACTACACTATTTTATTTGAGGCTACTATGGCCATTCAAGGGCATCACATGCACTGGATCCCCAGAGCTACTTGTAAAGGGCTGTGCTGCTGTGCACCTGGAAATACATACAGGACAATAAAGTTTGCCTGCTGAGTTTCCCATGATGGAAACTGAGGAGGGAGTTCGGGTATATATTGGACTGTTTGACGGAGTCCAGGACTATGTATGGCTCTACAGGCCAGCCCTGTCCACTGTGAACTGGGAAGGCGGGTTCATCCCTGGATATCTACCGTAACAACTCAATAAGCTCTCAAGGGAAGAAAAGGAGACGTGTGTCTGTACCTGCAAGCAAACAGCAAGTGGACAATAGAAAAGGAAGCTGTAACCCAAGAGGTGAAAAACTTTGACGTCTTTCATAAGATGTAACAGGAAGTCGAGAGCTGTGAGTTCGTTCCCCAGTGGATGAGAAAAACAGCTCTTTGTGTTGTTGCATGGATACAAACACTGCTGAAAGAGGAATGAGTGCATGGCAAACAAACGGGGAGCAATGCCCTTAAGTTCCTGCTGTGAATACAGTCCAGTCCAGACTCAGATTAAAGAGGAGGTTTGAGTGTCATTTTGGATCATAACTTTACAGCTTCACTCTCTTTTTTTTCTGTAAACCTTTTTCTGAAAAGTGGGGGTAGTTTCTGTTCTGCAGATGCAGATGCACCCTCTGGCTCATATTTTGTCTGACACTGAGAGGCTTCAAGGGACAAAAGCCAACTGTATTGACCCCAATTCCCCAAAAAGCTTCCAGCTCTCTGGCTCCTTTTCTGTTTTGTTTACAGTCTAGTCATTTATCAGAAACTTGAAAAATGACTATCAGGTCAAAAGTGAAGAGATACTGCTCCTCTGCAGTCATTTCTTGGGTCATTACATCCTTTCGGAGTCAGGTTATTCCAAGCCACAAATTTCATAATTACAGTCAGTGGTCTAATCTAAAGGTAGGAAACACTCAAAATGACCTAGTTTAATCAACACAGCTTATCTCAGTTCTAAAGCCATATCACCTGGGGTCTATACAATCACTGTTTTAAACAGTTAGTCATATTCTTCAGGGACAAAATCAAAAGCTATTTAAAATGTTGCTTTATTGTATGGCAGCATCAGCGTGGGAAAAAAACACATAGTACACTCCCTCTGAAAATGTCAGTTTATAACTGAACAAACAAGCTGGCTCTAGTCCCAGCTTTATTTGGTGCATGACGTCTGTCACTCTCCCTTCCATGTTTCCTGTCTCACTTCAGCTGCCTGATCTTGTTCAGGCAAAATAACCCATTTTTTCAAAAAGGCTGCTTTTTGAGTACAAAAATAACCAGTCATCAGAAAAGCACCAAAGTAACGACGGTTTTTAGTTTGTCACACAAGTGCAAGCTGCTTGTATAGCACAAACCAACCCTGTGGTACTTACTAACAAGTGTATTTTTTTTTTTGTTCTGTTAGTTAAGGGGTCAACATGCTTGGATGGAAAAACCAGACTTCAGTTTGTTAACTTTAAGTCCAGCAGCTGAAAAAATGTTGTTTCAGCTGCTGGACTTGTTGTTCTTGGCTTAGGCCCCAGAACAACAAATCCCCAAAAGATGACAAATGAGAGGGCAAGACAAGCAAAAAGTCATAATACACAACAACAAATTTACTTGAAATTAACAAGACGGACTGTGTTTATCTAATCAGCGACTCGATTTTAGAAAATTCCAATTTTTATTCATATTGTGATGTGTTTTGTTTTCAACAGGCAGATACCGTTGAAAATTTGTAACTCAGATCAGGCCTAAAAAATCTATATGTAACACATCTTGCTAAGTGAGATGACATTGAGCAGATTTGAGCTTCAGGCTAGGTTAAAAATGCAGAATGGATGGTTTAGAAATGCTTCAGAAATGTGTGTTTTATGTATTTTCACTGATGATCAAATAATAAAACATAAAAAAGTATACTTGAGGTGAAGTTGGTGTTGCTTCAACACTGTGGCTGTGCAGACAGGCAGGACACAGGGCAGCTTCAGGTAACACTTGTTTGGAGAATGGAGAGGTAAAAGACAGCTTAAATATTTGTTAAAGTGCAGCCTGTTTGTATGACTACATGTTTACAGAGTCCTGCAGGGGCCAGATCAAGAAAAAATGGAAAGCCATGTGCAGATACTTGCGCATGCATTCACAATCTACATGCACATATTGTTGGATTGTACATTGATATTGTTATTGTTATTGTTATTTTTTCCTTTATGCCTGAAAACATAAACCTAAGTTCAAATGATGTTACAGCGAGATACCCTAAAGAGAATTAAATAGAAGGGATGTGACTTCAATACTGACGACCATTCAGACTGGATCTTTGTAAACCAGCCACAGAAAAGCCTTTTTTGGCACTAAGTAGTTCCCCAGTTGATTTGAGACACCCTTTGTCATCTTTAAAGTTAACTTTCAGTTATTTTATCAACTTTTCTAAATTAAAGAGTAAAGGGTTATTAAAAAGGGGACACTCACAACACTGTTATTGATAACTAACATTCATAAATATTAACATATTTTGCTCAATTTGCAGGGATTTTTGGGCACCCTGAAAATATCAGGTTGGGCCCCACTTTACTACCACCAACCACATCAACCCCCCAAATATTACACTGTGTTGACAGAAATGCAACACAACATACTACACGCTGGTGCTGTCAAACTTGATGTGTTGATGACAACCGTCTCAAAATTAGACAGTGGTGTCTTGCTGAAAATTTGACCTAAAATCTGACCTAATTCAGGGGCTGCTGCCTTCGAAAGACGAGCGTTTCTTAGACCAGTCTGGCTGAAGTGAAGTAAGACAATCTTCCTCTTCAGATTATTGCATGTTGATTTCACCACACTGACCATGGCATCATGTGTTGCCGCTCTTGTCCCATGGCAAAAGGTGGCTACCCAGCTAGCATAGCAAGCATCATGTTACATAAACACCATCTTAAGGCACTTGCTTCTGACAGAAAACCAAATACAGGTGTCTAAGAGTAGGTTACTGTCACTGAGCCATTTCTATGAGAAAATGATCTTGTTTATTGTAGCTTGTTTTGTAGGGTGACCATATTCTGAATCCCTTAAAAGAGGACACAACTACGTGGGGCAGAGCATTTTGGCTCTTGTCGAGTGTTTTTTTACGTGCTTCTAACTCAGTTTGTCCATGCTATCCAAACTCAAAACTCCATCTAAAACCCGGGACATTTGAAGGATTTTATAAACTCCCCCAGGACAGGCTGGACAGCCCCCCAAAAAGAGGACATGTCCGGGTAAAAGAGGACGTATGGTCACCCTATTGTTTTGGTTTGCTTGCTGGTATTTTTTTTGTCATATTATTCTTTAAACCTAAGTGGCCACAGGAGCAGGACACCTGTGTGCTCCCTGAACATCAAGCTCCAGCTGAGGTTAACCAGCAATCAGGGGATTTAGGCTGGGAACACGTTGTGAACTTCCTCTTGATCCATCGATTCAATTAGAGCTTTTATCCTCTCAGTCTTTTTGTTTTCCCTTGCAGTGAGAAAGTTTGAGCTGAATGGTGTTGGTGTTGTAAATAAAAGTTTTTGAACATATCTGTAACCATGTGTCGTTCTTCTTCTGGGTCTTCCGGCTTACCTTGTATAGATCAGAGGGCCCTGCACATGCTCAGGGTCCTGGTCAATGTATGACATCATATGACGTGGAGAGGCACAAAGTTAAAAAAGACAAAGAAACCATGATAAATGGATTGTTATAATTTAAAGTGGTATGTGCTGTGTAGGTCATTCTGTGCAATTGTGTGACCAAAGTTGAAACGATAGAGGAGGTAAACATAGTGGATGACATATGGTTTGTATGTGAATTTGGGGTCCATGGTGAGGTTGTGCCCAGGGCCCATGGTCATGATTGTATTGGGCTCAAGGACTCATGGAATGAGAGGAGCCACAAAGCATGTTCTTGATGCAGGAAAAACAGGACATATTTATCTGTGGTAACCTCTGAATCAGGACACAGCAGAAGAAGACGCTGACTGCTAGTGAGGCAGCTGTACTGGCCCTCTGAGAGATAATTCACCACCAGCAGACAGATATATATCTTTATTTGCAGTCCCCAGGATGCAATAAAACCCTACAGAGTGTAAATGACTCTTTATCTCTGCACCAGATACAGTAGGGTAGTATAAGGTGATGGGGGTAAATCTTGGAATTCAACCAATAGTTTTATAGCTGACTTCAAGGAATGCATGGACCATGACCGAGGTCTTGTACCAAACAGGAAGCTGGACTCTTCCGGCCTCCTGGTTAAAAGGTGCTAGAAGGAAGAGCCGGGGGCAGACCGATCAGATGCAGACAGGTGAGCCGGATAAATCTGAATGTAAGTGTTTGCACCTTGGCTGGTAATGTGGTGTAAATATCTGATATCTAAATGATTTTTCAAACCGAGTACTTGCAGTTCATGCTTACTTATTTGACTCTGACTTTTCTAACTTTTTAAGAGACCCTTTAAAGTTTTAGGGTCAGCAATTTTCCTGACATTGTCTCACACTCACACAACTCCTCACCTGCAGAGTTGGAGCAGTGCAGCAGTGATTCCTGACCGCATAAACATTGGAGGATAAGACGAACTTCCATATGGACTCTAACGGCACCAGCAGTGGGCAATATGCTCGCTGGAACGAGGACAACATCAACATGAATGTGGAGGCATCACAGTCTACGAGGCTGTGGTGAGACTCAGTGATGTTCCCAAATGGAGGATAAAAAGAGTTTCTGGTGCTGGAGGGGAATAAACTTTGTCAGCGTTACGGAGCTGGGAAATTTTGGTCATGTGCCTGGTTATGTTGGCATGTTTGGGCTAATAAGAGAAATGCATGACATTAAGAATCAAAACAAAGTGGTTTGTTATGAAACCAAAATACATGAAGAGTATGAGGTTTTGACCTGATCTGCTTTGCTTGTAGGATCTACAACAGAGTGTGTACTGGCCGCACTGGGGTAGTACTGAAGATAGCAGGAGCTTTGGCTGGGCTGGTGTTCATCTACATGGCTGGATATATGACGGGGTACTATGTTCACAAGTGCTGATGGTGGAGGCTGAAGAGGAGGAAGAAGAGCCTGAAGATTATAGATAAAGCACCAGAGCCAAATGTAAAGTCTGTCATGTCTTTTATCAGCCTTTTGATTATTTTAATGTAAAGTTATGTATAAATTTGTAAATGTAATCTTATTCTACTTCCTTAATAAAACTGGAGTATTGCAACCATGAAACGAGATCGGACTATTTTTCTCCCCCCTGGTTGCGATGTTGACATGTAGTTATTGTAAGACTGGTTTGTGCTCGAGTCCTCTTTTTTCTGTACAGCTCAATTTTTAAAAGTTATTAAGGGATTCATGTTTTCTATGATTGACACTTGATACAGCCTATGGGTGTGCCAAGCTCACTTGGAGGATATGCTGTTTGAGTCAAGTGTCATCACAGCTACTCTCCTGCCAAATGTGTGCAATGCTACTGCCCAAGTGGTGGTTCCAGGAAGTGGAAAAAATCCCAAAAATACAGAGAGCAATTCCACTTCAAATTTGCATAATGAAGGATGGTGGAACCAAGTTGTCCATAGTATATACAGTCTATGCTCAAACCATGACTAGCCTTTTGCCTGTTAAGAGGTGGAACTTATGTTAAAATCAATTATTTGGGTTTTGTTTTACAAGCTAGTTGCATCTATAAGTGCTTTTCAACCAGAAGCTCCCACATCTTTTAGTACCAGGGCTTTCCTTTGAGTAACTTACTGGTTTCTGTGGCCCACTGTAGTCTGTGTTTCAACCTGGAGGTTGAAGTCCAAGGTAAATAATGGAAATCAGGCTGATCACACCCTGGAATAGTATTTGAAATTGAAGTTACTTGCACAGCTCTTTGAGTCGGTGCTGAATGAATAATTTTGTCGGAACTTCTGATAAACATATTCTTTGGAGTCCTTAAAGAATCAAGTTTAACAAATTTAAGTGTCATTTCTCTTTGAAATTACATTTTAAAATTAAATTTAAAATTAAAAACTGTATCCAAAGTTACATTTCTGCAACTAAAGTTCAAAGCTCCCTAACTCTACCACCCCTTAAGAAAGTCTGTATTCAAGTTTAGCCATAACAGTCCAGCTCTGCCTCTGTGGCTTTTTGTGCAATGTGCAGATCTTTTTGTACTTCCTGCCAAAGGCTAGACTTGAGACAATGAGCAGAGAGCTTTGCTGTTTGTGACTATCGGTCTTCACAAGAAAAATAAAAGGCAATAATCACAGTGAAGCCAGATTGAAGTTAATCCTTCAGCATAGTCAGACTCTCCTGATCTGGAAGCCATCTGTGCAGAACAAATGACTGTTGTGGTAACCATTAACATTTATGGTTCCGTTACAAATATTTTATATCACGAGAAAGTGGTGTGCAGCTCAGTCTGGTCAGTGAGGTGATTTTTTTTTATTGTTGTCTGCATCACCCTCTCTGAATCCGGTCATTATATAATCAGAATGTGTCTCTTATCTGTGAACACAATTATGATAGGAAGAACGGATTGTTTAAATAGCACTATGATAACATTTCCGTCTGTGGTCATTTCCTCACAGCTGTGTCTGTGCATACAAAGCATACAAAGTACAAAAAAACCCCACACATTCTTTGTTGTTAATAACACTTGTGCACATCATAAAAACATTTAAACAACAAAAAAAAAAAAACTACATTACAAGACCATATCAACTGCTCAGACATTTAACTTCATTGATGTCATAATTGAAACTTCATGAGATTATTGAGAAAGCTCTTTTTTCTTAATCCTGACAAAGACCAGCGTCTAAACATCACACACACACACACACACACACACACACACACACACACACACACACACACACACACACACACACACACACACATTTTAATTTGAAGCTGCTTGCACAGATTTTTCAAATATTTCCATCGTTGCTGGTCTGATAATGTTTGTCACACTATATAAAAGAATGACTTCATTCTGTTTGAATGTAAAAAAAGCAGCTTAAAAAAACCAGCTCTGATGACTCACAAAAACAATGTTTTTTGTGTGTTTTTTCACCTCCACTCTTATGGCATGCCAGGAGGTAAACATGCCTATGGACCACAATCTGGACAATCCTTTTACTCTTTAGTCTGGAAGGCACCATGTCCATATTTCCAAAAACACTCTGAAATATGGATGATGGCACATTTCTCCACTTTGTGTCAGTCCATCTCAGTTGAGCTCGGGCCCAGTGAGGCCGGTGGGGTTTCTGGCTGTTGCTTTTATCTTGCTTTGGCTTAGCATTGTGACGAACTGTGTTAACTGACAATGGTTTTCTGAAGTGCTCCTGAGCCCATGTGTTAATATCCTTTACAGGAGGATGTGAGTTTCTAATGCGGTGATGCCTGAGGGGTCAAAGGTCACAGTTATTCAATGTTGGTTTTGGGCCTTGTTACTTATGTGCAGAAATCTCTTTGGATTCTCTGAATCATTGGATGATTTTATGGACTGGACGTTCTTATACTGTTCTTAAACTTCTTAGCTGTGTGTGTGTGTGTGTGTGTGTGTGTGTGTGTGCGTGCGTTCGTGTGTTGACACCTGTTGTCCAAGGGTCAAAGTTTTTTAATCATGGAGGTAGAAAACAGCTGATTCTGTATTTAACATAGGAAATCCTTGGTCCTATGACTCCAGCATTCTTGTGATACATTGCCCTGAAAGCAAAGCCAGCAAGTGTTGACTAATAAGGGGCATGAAGCAAAACTGGATCTGCTGGAAGTCTGGTGTGATTTGGTCTTTTAGCCTACAGATAAATCAGCATATCATGAGTTTCACTAAGATTGTGAGCAGCTCATTAAAAAAAAAAACATTCATGTTGTCATAAAATCCCAGCTTTCCTCTGCATCAGCTTGTGTCTCTCCTCTTTAGATTGGTATTGTCAGAAAAATAAAACTGCATCTGACTTGCAGCCAGCTGAGAAGAACGACAGAGATAGTGGACTTCTTTTTCTTCAATATCTTTTACTTGCAAGGAGTCAGCAGCTTACAACAAAGGCAGGAATTCAGATTTTTACACATCCTTTATGCAGTCAAGAAACAGACACCCCCGCCCACTAACATCATCTCACAAGTGGCATGACATTACAACAGTATCCAAATAGGGCACAGGTTGCATCTGTGGTCTGCACTGGGAGAACAAAGACAGTTTAGTTCATCATCAGGTTCCTGCTTATCAGTTCAATGTCACACTGTTGGAAAAACAACCTGTGAGTGAAATTGTAGTATTCATCTAGTTGCATGGCTTCAGCGGAAAAGTATCAGTCCCAACTCCAAGGCCATACTTCTCCTTTCCTTTGCTCATTTTAAAGGAAAGGATATGACTCTGCAAGCATTCATATTTTCTTTAACCAGTTTTCTGGAAATGACCGATTATCTAATATCTGTTGGACCAGCCTTACTGTTACTGCATCCACTCTGGTACTGTGATCAGGGATTCATTAAAGTTCAGGGTCAAGTGTGTGTGTCTGATTGGCCCTGATCTGGAACAGGTGTGGAAAGCCTATAAATAACCCTGAGCTCCACTGCCTGGTGCTGACTCAGTCTGCAGCTCAAGACAATGAGCAACAGCAGTTATCTGTTGGTTTAGATGCTGTTTAGTGGATCTACATCAGCACTGCTTTATCCTCTGACTGTGGTTTGCTCAATATTTCCCCTGTTTTCTTTAAAGTATCTGCCTGATATTGCGCCTGTTCTCACTGTCAAAGGCGTCTTGTGTTTCTTCTTAAGGAGTGGCTCCAGGCCCTCTCCAAGGCTTGGTTTTTGGACAGTTGCTGAGTTGCAGTGGTTCAGTTTCCGTATTGTTTGTCAGGGTTTACTTGCAGACCACCATGGCCTGCAGTCCTGTGCTGCTGCCTCCTCTCTATCCTGATGCAATTGATTCAACAATTCAGTAATTCAAGTCACCTCATTAAGCTCCAGTATTCCCACACCAAGTGCCCCAGAATCTTTCCTTATAAACTGAAAGAGGTCTACTCATTTCACCTCTCCCTTCTACCATCTTATATACTGGATTCCTTTGCCCATAAGGCCTGCACAATCTTCCACAAAAATAGGAAAGGGAACTCAACAATGAACACAAAGCAGATGTGCTGATGGTATGAAAACTGTGGTTTCTCAGAATAAACTGCAGGAAATTGAAAGAACAAAATGCATCCAGGTCTATTTTCTCTGAAATTTCTCTACAAAAGAGAACCAAAGTAAAATAAGATCCTGAGCTCCTCTTAAAACTGTTTTGATAAGTAATTGTCCATGTTAAAGCTGACTATCAGACAAATGCTCAATGGCACTTCTATATTCCAATTTTTTTTTCTTCTTCTTCCTTTTCATTTGTTTTTATCGCTTCATGTGCTTGTCTGCCAGTCGTAGTATTTTTGTATCCAATGGTAACTGTTTCTATTATTTGGAAATTTTCAGGAAACTTACATGGAAGATAAAAAATAATACTGCTCTTGGTTTTAATTCCCACAGTACCCCTCGGGACAGCAAAGACAGAGGAAGGTCCCTCTTTTCCATGGGTGCCCTGTAGCAAAACAATAAACAAAAAAGCACATATAACTGTATTTAAAAAAAGATCAATTGGAAAAACACATGCATTCCTGCAAGTCTATACCATTTCAATGTTTTCACATGATGAAACTATTGTAGGTACTTTCTACACTCAGCTTTCATTTGAAAACTATTCCACAAAATGGAGTAGTCTTTCAGATCTTTAAAGTCATTCTTCATAGAGGTCAACAAAGGTGTACCTCAGGGATCTTTCCATGCGCATCTTCTATTTTCTCTGTATATCAGTGATATTCAGTTCTAAACTTTAATATTTTCAGTATATTTCAGGAATAGATCTGGTTGTATGGCTTGAAATGTTTGGATACAAGTGACTACAGCGGTAGGGAGGAAATGATCCAATGAAGACCAAACTACTATGTAATACAAGCCACACCAGTGTGTTTGAAATCCCTCAAGTGAGAGCACTGTGATAGAATAGAATAGAATAGAATAGAATAGAATAGGTGATGTAAAGCAATCAGTGATTTCAAGACTGAAACAGTTGCATGGCTGTCTCCATCAACCGAAACTGGCAGTACTGTAGCCTTCACA